GTTGCCTGATTTTATATCAGCAGCAAAAACTGAGAATACCTCATCCAATCATTCAATAATTCCTCAAATGAAAGTCTCAAAGTTATTCTTAGATGATCTTTACGACCTAGTAGCTAATTAACGGTTTCTAAAATCTCTGCTCTTTGGATTTTCTGGCCCTAATCTGACTGTAACCTTTAACTGCACACACAACACTCACCAAGAGGATCTCGATAGTCCCGAGGATGTACATGGCACCGGCGAATGTGGTGCCCAGATAGAAACACAGACCCACAGCGCCTCCGAACTCCGGGCCCAGAGAGCGAGAGATCATGTAGTACGAGCCTCCAGCTGGAGACAAACATCAGCGAAGCGTAAATGTGACACAGAACAACAGGAACTCCAGGGTAAAACAGAGAACATGACGACCGCATGCAATGACCGCAGTGCATTTCTACTGGAAACCATCGCTGCGGTTACAATAAACACCATAATCACTCATGCTGGATGTTTGAGGTTTAACTTGGTTTTATGCAGACCATGATGTCATTTCCTGTTTAAATACAAAATGAGAGCAATAAATGTAATATGCCAATGTCTTACCTGGAACAACACCGTTTGTAGCAATGGCACTCATTGATATGGCTGTCAACATAGTCTGAAAAAATGTCCACAGCATTTTATTAATTCAGAAATAAAAAAAATAAAGAAAATTTTAATTGAAAAATATATAAATTTTTAATTAATTACTATTAATTCAGACAAAAAAAAAAAAGTTTTAAATAAAAGATTTTTCTTATTTGAAAAAAAAAGAAAAATCACTATGATATCAATTCTAATGTGTAATATGATATAAAATAATGTAAAATAATGTAAGAAAAATGTTGAGTTAAATATTGTAATATTTTTCTTATTATTTAGTAAAATTGTCCATAGGCCCTATTAAATATTAAGAAACATTATATATATATATATATGAAAAATCACCATCACATCAACTCAAATGTGTAATATTATATAAAATAATTTAATATTTACTAAAATGTTTATTTTTTTAGTATAGTAATTTTTTGTAGTTTTGTATATATTTTTTCTTTCTATTTAATGAAAAATAAAAATAAAATTGGCTGATCATATCAATTCTAAGGTGTAATATTATGTAATGTAATATTTAGCATAATGTCGATTTCATTTTGAAGAGATTATTTAATGAAAAACAATAAGAAAAATAATTTTATAAAAAACACAATATTTAGTATAATGTTGATTTAATTTAAAAGATTTTCTTATTTAAACAAAGAATTTTTTAAATGTAAAATAATGTAATATTTAGTATAATGTAATATTTAATTTAGTAGCAATATTTAGTATATGACTAAAATGTGTACAATATATTTTTCTTATGATTTAATAAAAAAAAAAGAAAAATACTTTTTTATTGATACATTTTTTAATTAATATTACACTAAATTTTACAGTATTGTATATAATATTACACATTAGAATTGACATTGGGAGTTTCATATCAGCTAAGTTATTTTGATATTACAAAGACTATTTTTAGAATAACGCGCAGTGATGAATCATTCAGACCAGGAACGTGTTTTAAGAAAGTAAACAGGTCAATGAATCTCAACATCATGTACAGCACAGTGATGATGAGGCTGTCCTTTTCTTTCTCCAGGAAGGTGTACTCTATTAAAGGTCATCTGCATCCGTTATGTGTTATGCAATCCGGCCGTTGTGTCTGAGTGTCCTTGAGCTGAAAGTCCACTCTAAATCCCTGCGTCTCTGAAAAGCTACTGGACTAAAGCCAATTAACGGCCACGAATCTCCAACAGGCTTACCGGGAGAAATAAAGCTGTTAGAATGAAGGAGATTGAGTGATCTTTACTCGCCAAATACAGACACAAAGAGCTTTCACTGCGCCTGCCATTTTGATCATTTTTCCAATTTATATTCTGATTGTGTATAACGGTTTAAAGTGGGAATTAAATGTGTTTTAATCAACTTTACATTTTATATTAACTAAATATATATAATTTATAACAAGTATATATATATACAGTATATATATAATTATTTGCTCTGCTTCTGAAATAACTTCCCTTTCTGACTTTTTAAACATTTGCCATACAGAAAAACACAATTAAGTTTGGCAGTCATTTTCCATGATTCACTCAATAATGTGTCACATTAAGGAAGAAAAACAGGCTGTGAACACTGTTTTGATATTGATTTACCTTCCTAAAAGAAGAAGTAAACACATCTCCCAAATGTGAGGTTCAGCCACACTTAGAAACGTCTGTCTATCTGTCATTTCACTGCGCCTGCCATTTTGATAATTTTTCCAATTTATATTCTGATTGTGTATAACGGTTTAAAGTGGGAATTAAATGTGTTTTAATCAACTTTACATTTTATATTAACTAAATATATATAATTTATAACAAGCAAGAAAAAAAGGCTAAAATGGGCAACTATCAAAAAAATTAATAAAAAATATATTTTGCAATAACTTGCTCAACTTATGAAATAATTTCTCTTTCTGACTTTTTAAACATTATTCATATAGAAAAACTTTTTATCATCCAAACAACTCCTGACGGATACACTTTAGTCCAGTCTTGCATTTTTCATTCCTGTCTGTTAAAATAAAATCTGCATTTTTTTAAATTTTATGTTATATTTTTGTATATATTATGCATATTTCTTTATGTTTTTTGAGATGTGTGAACTACAAAATATGGCATGAAAAAACTGCACTTAAAATCAAGACTAAATTTATTGGTGCACATTTTAATCTTTCACCAAAATGTAATAATTTTCTAAATAACTTTCCCTTCTGCCTTTTTCAACATTACTTTTAACAAAACTTTTTATCATCCAAACAATTTCTGATGGATAATTAAGTCATATATATATATATATATATATATCACAATTAAGTTTGGCAGTCATTTTCCATGATTCACTCAATAATGTGTCACATTAAGGAAGAAAAACAGGCTGTGAACACTGTTTTGATATTGATTTACCTTCCTAAAAGAAGAAGTAAACACATCTCCCAAATGTGAGGTTCAGCCACACTTAGAAACGTCTGTCTATCTGTCATTTATCTCTGATAGATGTTACATAAACTGGCAGCACTGAGATCTTGATGTTTCCTGTAAGAGCGCTAGAAGGAAAGAGCGACTCAATCTTGACTGTGACACAATCGCCGGAAACGTATAATGACACTAGCAAGTGAAGGTTGAGGTGAATTAGACGCTTGATCCCATTGTCTGATGTGGTTTATAAATAAGCAGTGGTGTTTGAGACTTCTGAGCACAGGAGATTACACACGTGCCAGTTCAGACGAAAGAGGACGGAGGCTAAACTTAACCGGCAAGATCAGAACTGATAAACTCCTACAGTCGTGTGGTTTGGACTTACACACGAGCAGCACATGGTCACAATGATAAAGGCCTCCAGGATTCCCGCCGTTCCCACAATCCACGTCATTCGCAGGAAGAGAATCACTCCGAGGATGTTCTGCAGGCAGGGAAGGTAGACCCCGATAAACGTCCCCATCTGTGGACTCTGCACACAAACACAACGCAAAAGAGACGGCATGAGAAATGCATGCTCGAAATGATCGCACATGCATGCAATAATGAGGCAGAAAATCTAAAATTAGGGATGTAACTAGTGGTCGACCGATATATCGCCAAGGCCGATATATCGGCCGAAATATGCCATTTTTCAAATATCGGCTAAACCTTGCAAACTTAGTCGGATCCAGTTGGGAGATCGTGTGAAGTGTGCATGTGTATCCTGCATGATCGCGTGTTCTCTGTGTGACGGT